AAACTAACTCCAGATGGATTAAAGACTTAAACATAAGACCTAACACCATAAAAACCCTAGAATAAAACCTAGGCAAAACCATTCAGGACATAGGCATAGGCAAGGACTTCATGACTAAAACACCAAAAGTATTGGTAACAAAAGCCAAAATAAACAAATGGAATCTAATTAAACTCCAGAGCTTCTGCACAGCAAAAGAAACAATCATTAGAGTGAACTGGCAACCAACAGAATGGGAAAAAAATTTTGCAATCTACCCATCTGACAAAGGACTTATATCAGAATTTACAAAGAACTAAAACAGATTTACAAGAAAAAAACAAACAAAACCATTCAAAAGTAGGCAAAGGATATGAACAGACACTTTCAAAAGAAGACGTATATGAGGCCAACAAACATATGAAAAAATGCTCATCATCACTGGTCATTAGAGAAATGCATATCAAAACTACATTGAGATACCATCTCACGCTAGTTAGAATGGCAATTGTTAAAAAATTTGGAGACAACAGGTGCTGGAGAGGATGTGGAGAAATAGGAACACTTTCACACTGTTGGTGAGAGTGTAAATTAGTTCAACCATTGTGGAAGACAGTGTGGCGATTCCTCAAGGACCTAGAAATAGAAATTCCATTTGACCCAGCAATCCCATTACTGGGTATATATCCAATGGATTATAAATCGTTCTGTTATAAAGATAAATGCACATGTATGTTCACTGTGGCACTGTTTACAATAGCAAGACTTGGAACCAACCCAAATGCTCATTGATGATAGACTGGACAGGGAAAATGTGGCACATATGCACCATGGAATACTATGCAGCCATAAAAAATGAGTTCATGTCCTTTGTAGGGACTTGGATGAATCTGGAAACTATCATTCTTAGCAAACTGAAACAAGAACAGAAAAACAAACACTGCATGTTCTCACTCATAGGCAGGTGTTAAACAATGAGAACACATGGACACAGGGAGGGGAGCATCACACACTGAGGTCTGTTGGGGGTGACTAGGGGAGGCACAGTGGGGGGTAGGGAGTTGGGGAGGGATAACATGGAGATAAATGCCAGACATAGGTGATGGGGATGGAGGCAACAAACCATATTGCTATGTATGTACCTATGCAACAATCTTGCATGTTCTTTACATGCACCCCAGAATATAAAGTGCAATAAAATACATATTTAAAAAAAATAGATTGGTTAGTATCTACGTGTAATAAAATGTCATATTTGAAATCTTATTTTCTCCAGGGTAAAAGTCAATTACCTCTATATACCAAAAAAATTGTTTACATTTCTATGGATAAGAATCATTTGGTTACTATCAGTTTTCAACAACTTATAGATATTAACCCTGAAGGATCCACTAACGAACCCCAGCGTACCATTGAAAGGTACTTGGTAATTTTTTGACCACCTCAAAGTTTTCCACAATTTTTCCTGACAGTCTTAATCTACCAAATGGGGATGAGCCTACAAGTGAGGGTGTCCAGTGGATTACAGATCTCTTTAAACTGCCTGGCACTCAGTGGGTGCTCAACCTATGGGAGCTTTGATTATGATGAAGTCTCAGCAGGATGAGTGATAACTCTGAGGGACATTCATGAATGTATATAATCCAAAGACAGTCACAAATTAGTAACAGGTGTTTCCCCTAGTGAAGGCTCTGTCACTCAGATGACGGTTTCATAACCTGAGGTCTACCTGCCATCGCTGTTATACACCTGACTGGGGAACTGGTCCAGAGTTTCCTCTCGATGGCACAGCAGTCAGTCCTAATGAGAAGTACCTAATTTTATTGAATGTTCTTTCTGTGTCTATTGAAGTGATCATAAGGTTTTTGTCCTTCATTCTGTTGATGCAATGTATTGTATTTATTGATTTGCATATATTGAACCATCCTTACATCCCTGGGATAAATCCCACTTGATCACAGCAAATGATCTTGAATGTGATGCTGGATTCGATTTGCTAGTATTTTGTTGGGAAGACAAATATCTAATTTTGTCACTCCTTTACAAATTTCTTCAAGAAACTAAATACTGAATCATCAGCATTATTTTTATTCAGCACTCATATATATAATTTATCACTTACAGAATAAAGCTTTTAGCAGCAAGTATGAAAAACTGCATAATAGAGGCAAATTTGTAGCTGCCTGAACACTGATCTCTCAGAGGTGCCAATCAACAGTCAGTGTCCATCACAAGAAAGCTCTCCAGTGGTATGACCAGCAGCTTGCTCATGTACTTTTCCTGATCAACGGTAATTCTCAACATTTCTTTCTTTTTGAGACTAAGTTTCACTCTGTCACCCAGGCTGGAGTGCTATAGCATGATCTTGGCTCACTGCAATCTCCACCTCCCAGGTTCAAGAGATTCTCCTCTCTCAGCCTCCCACGAAACTGGAATTACAGGCATGCACCACCATGCCCAGCTAATTTTTTGTATTTTTAGTAAAGATGGGGTTTCACCATTTTGGCCAGGCTGGTCTTGAACTCCTGACCTCAAATGATCCACTCTCCTCAGCCTCCCAAAGTGCTGGGATTACAGGTATAAGCCACCACGCCTGGCCAATTCTCATTTAATTGAGATATATTAATCAATTTTGCAGCTGACACAAAGCATAAAATAATAATAAATATGATGACCCTCAAAGTTCAAAATTATTTCTGCTATAGATGAAAACAAAAACGCTAAGATGTAAGGGGATCAATAGATGGTCCTGTACTTAGGTTAAACAAATATAAATTACACAAATACGGGACAGGTAATATGGTTTGGATCTGCGTCCCCGCCCAAATCTCATGTCGAATTGTAATCCCTAATGTTGGAGGTAGGGCCTGATGGCAGCTAACTGGATAATGGGAGTGGATCTCCCCCTTGGTACTGTGTCGTGATAGTGAGTGAGTTCTCGTGAGATCTGGTCATTTAAAAGTATATGGCACCCCCTTCTTCCTCCTGCTCCGGCCACGTGACATGCCTGCTCCCGCTTTTCCTTCTGCCATGAGTAAAAGCTCCCTGAGGCCTCCCCAGAAGCAGATGCTGCCATGCTTCCTGTATAGCCTACAGAACCGTGAGCCAATTAAACCTCTTTTCATTAGAAATTACCCAGTCTCAGGTATTTCTTTACAGCAGTTCAATAACAGACTAATGCAATAGAAGAGGCCACGATGGCAATTCATGTAGAAAGATGGAGCAAGGTGTAGGTAATCCTGCTGGCAAAAAACTCAGCACGAACCTATTGTGTGATGCAGCTACTAACACGGTTCATGTAATTAAGCTCATTAACAGAGGCAGAGGCAATCTGAATCACAGGAGGTAATGGATAAGTCAGGAAACCAAAGCTTAAATATGGGGTTCAATTAGGGGTGTTAGATGTTAAGAAGGGTATGGATTAATATGATAAAATCTGGACAAGGCAGGATTGGTGTGGGGTTCCTCTAAATCAATTCATATGAGGAACATCTGACAAACTGTGCGGTACTGAGCTCTGAGAAGAGCCTACCAAGTGCTGATGTTCTTTTTTTTTTTTTTCCCAAAGACTTTCAAAGCTTTTACACAGGATAAAAATATGAGTTCAGTGTTTTTCCAGAGGGAGTACCCAGCACCAATGCACAGAAGGAAGGGGAGGCACAGCCTGCCTTCCTAATACAGTGATGAGCAATGTCATGGACATGAGGTGAAGCAGTGAGCTTCTGCCCTTGGAAAAGTCACGCAGATGGCTGGTAAGCCCTGGAAAGGATGTTGTGGAAGGGGCTCTTGTTTGGAGGAGAGGCTGGGAAGGATGCTGGACGTATTAGTCCATTCTCACAGTGCTATAAAGAACTGCCTGAGACTGGATAATTTACAAAGGAAAGAGGTTTAATTGACTCACAGTTCTGCATGGCTGGGGAGGTCTCAGGAACCTCATTAGTACAATCACTGCAGAAGGCAAAGAAGATGCAAGGCACCTCCTTCACAAGGTGGCAGGAGGGAGAATGAACGCAGGAGAAACTACCAAACACTTATAAAACCATCAGATCTCCTGAGAACTCACTCACCATCATGAGCATGGCATGGGGGAAACTGCTTCCATGATTCAATAACCTCCACCTAGTCTCTCCCTTGACACGTGGTGATTATAGGGATTACAATTCAAGGTAAGACTTTAGGTGGGGACAAAGGCAAACCATATCACTGGACAAGGGTGGGACCAATTCTAATGTGATATAATCAGGGAGTAAAATCACTGTTACTTAAATCAGTGGTCTCCCTGATGTGTTTCTGTTTTGGTTCCAGTAGAGTATAAAGCAGTGCCTCCTTACCTCACCCTCTTTCTCCACTTCCTCTAACTGAGATGGTTTGGATGAAATTCATCTGCCTAAGCCAGGAAATGCTCCTAACTAGAATGGGTCCTGACAGGGTGAATAAAAAGCCACTTGTCTCACCACTCAAGACTTCCTGAGCATAGGCAGCCAGGGAGCACATGGCTGATTTCATCGGCGGCAATCCCAGGATCCCCATGTCAGCCTCCCTCCCTCACAGGCCGGGTAAGCCCAGCAGGCCTAGCTGTCAGGTAAACTGTTTACTTTCTGGCTCATGTGAAGGATAAGTTCATCCTATTGTTATTGTCCTCTTTAGATTCCTTTGTAACTTTCAAATTTTCTTCCTGGATCTTGAGCTAAGAAAAAGAAATAAAACTTTAAAAAAGTAATCTGAGTCATTAAAACAAAGGATGAGTCTTTTTCCTTGAAGTGTCTTTGACCTCTAGAGAAGTCACAAACAGCAGCAAGAAGGAGGGTAAGCTCCAAGACAAATGATTGAGATCACTGCTCACTCAGCAGAAAAGCACATTGAGATCATAAACCATTTTAGTGCAATCAGTTTTATACATTCTCCATTTTATACCTTCTACTGCTAGCATACAGACATTTAGGGAACATGAAGTGGCAGGCATTACGAAAGACCACTTCACCGAAATACCCGTTTTTGTTAGCAATGACAACATGTGTTACCTTCATGTCCACTGACGGGTTCCCCTGCAGCAGCGCCCACTCATACTGGATGATGGCGTGGTCATCTGTGCTCTCACGGCCGTCTAGAACCACCCCGTCTGTGGGAAGATGCAGAACCACATCCTGCCCAGCTTTGCTAAGTGGAGGTGCATCCTTTTCTAAGAAAGAAAATAAGTAATTCATAAGAGATGATTTCTTATTTTTTCTAATTTATGAAGCGAGGTATCTTGTTTGCTGAACAGATATGTAAATAAGCACTGAGGAAAAACCTGTAACTTTGAGTTGGTCTGGTGAGTGACTCTGATCATCTCCCTGTCACCAGCTGCAGAAATAAACTCCCTTCTTTTCCCAGATTGTTAATTGGACCAGGAGAACAAGCAGCCGGACCTTGTTCATCCGGGAACAAGGGGAATCATGTGAGGGGGCCTGGGGCTCTTAGAAATGGGGCTTTTCTGAATGAGAATGCTGCCAGCCACAAAGGGAAGATACCTTTTTCTTTTAGGCACATTACAAAGAATCAAGCACAATTGCTTATTACATGCTATTGCCAAGGGTACACTAATTATGGAGAATACGTGTCCCATTTTTCCAGTCACTTAAGAATGAGGACTAGTAACCGTGATTTAAATAAGCCAAGTAAACAACCCCCTGCCTAGGAAGAAACTTGTTCTTCTGCCTTTTTCCACCTCTGAGCAAAGACAGGTAGTGTGATGTCTTTATTCTGCTTCTCCCAGGTAAGGAGAAAGAGGATATATGCATTACTTTGATAGCTCTTTCATACTGCTGATCTTTTCTTTGGTTCTGAAAGGTTCATTGTTTCCACACAATGGTTTATGACTTTATAATTCTGGGAAGCATCTTATAATTCAGCAGTTATACATTATAGCCAGCAGCTATTTAGTTTAAACTTTGTTTAAAAATACTATTTTAAATAGACAAATGAAAATATGCCTATGTGATATAAACAGTAATGGACACATAATAATTTTTAAACCCTCAAAGATTTAAGATGGAAGAATCATGTAAGTGTTGAACTATTCCAAACATTATAAAACTAATCCTACCTCTCCTGGAAGAAAAAGATTATTTTAGTCATTTACTTTTATTTAGGTGAGCTTCAAGATGATTCATAAGTCTAGTGAAATCATCCTGTCTTCTAAATTGATCATTGATGCATCTGAAATAACACAGATAATGTTTTATTTTCAGTTCAAGTCCAGGTCAATTACATTGTAAAATATATTTCAAAATAAGCCAGAGCTTATCTACCCAGAAACAACCCTTAAAATAAACAAACAACCACAGGAAGAGGAAAGGAGTGTGCCATCATTTTAAAATGTGTTACTTGCTAATGAAGAAAAGGTAAATGTCATTTTGAATTTTTGTCAAAAAAAAATGTAATAAACTCATGTTAAGTACTAGGGAAACAGGTTTCTTTTGAAAACTAAACACACTTAGTAAGACCTACAGAGGTGAAATAAGACCCCCGCCGATTTAGAGAGCATATCAAGGTGACATTTTATTCACAGAAGTGCAATATAATATTAACTAGGCTCATTCTCAACACACTACTGTGCACAGAGCCTCCATGACAAGGAAGATGTTCTGGGCTGTATGGGAATGAATGGCATAGCTCAAGCAGAGCAACTGGAAAGAACCCTGAAGTCAGGGTACAGAAGTGGGGCCAGACTAAGGGAAGAGGCTCAGATACATGGGGTCAAAATCCATCATGGATTTCCAACTGCAACACTTTAGAAAAAAAATTATCCGCAACCCCAATATGATTATTGTGATTTTTGGTATGTACTGATCTAGTCCTCCCTATGATGCTGCTGCTAATAATTATAACAGTTGCCATTTACTGGGTGATTTTGAAACTGCCTTTGCAAAAATTATAGCTGAGAAGATTATAACAGTGAAAGAGATCTGACCTGACTCCATTTTGCATCTAACCTCCAACCTGTTCTTGTCCATTCCTGGGCATAGGCTGAACTAACTTTGGGTAGAACTTGGTTTACAGTTTGACTTTGAAACAAAGACAAGGCCGGGTGTGGTGGTTTATGCTTGTAATCTCAGCACTTTGGGAGGCTGAGGCGGGTAGATTGCTTGAGCCCAGGAGTTCCAGACCAGCCTAGGCAACATGGCAAAACCCCATCTCTACTAAAAACACAAAAAGTAGCCAGGTGTGGTGGCGCATGCCTATGGTCCCAGTTACTTGAAAGGCTGAGGAATTCAAGGCTACTGTAAACCAAGACTGTGCCACTGCGCTCCTGCCTGGGTAACAAAGTGAGTCCCTGTCTCAAAAAAAAGAAGAGAAAAGAAAAAAGAAACAAAGATGATAACACCGCTTTCCCCAAACAGATCCCTTTCTTGCCTGGGGACCAGACTGCCTTTGCAAGACTAACAAATTAGCCACAAGATTAGAAATTATGGTTTAGGAATAACTATTGTGAAACCTAAGGTCAGTGCTTGAGATATTTTATAGACCCTGTCCTTGATGGTTGGCAGCACCCAGTTCGCAGTACCCAGATGGACTAAGTGGCTCATCTGGTCTTGTGGTTTACCTATACAACCAGCTCTTCGTGAATTAAACTCTTTGTCTATTGAAATTCCCGTCTTGATAAATCGGCTCTGTGTAGCCAGTGGGCAAGGAGAACCCATTGGGCAGTTACAATTTCCTTGTACCAGCTAGCATGCCAGGTGAAGTTTTAGGAATATCTTCACTTAACTCTCACAACAAATCTCTGAGGTAGGTATTATGATCTGCATAATACTGATGCAGAAACTAGGCTAAGAGGCTAAATTACATCACACAGGCGATAAGTTTGTCAGCCCAGATATTTCTAACTCAAAGGTTCTGTCCTTCCACTATACTTCGAGACAACCTGGGTGTATTACAGTTACAATAAATATAATTTTACATCCTGAATTTAATTGATTAACTTATTAATATATTCTTCTTACTGATACTTCTTCATGTATCTTAGCACTGCCCATGCGATTATATAAACTTCACAACTGCCAGTTGAATTTCCTGATCTCTACAACTGGACATTCACTTTGTTACTGCTTTTTTCACCATTATAAATAACGTCATAATAAACACTTTTTTGCTCATATGTTCTCTTCAGTATGGATCATTTCCCTAAATGATATTCCAGAATGATAATCATATTCCAGAAGTATGAATGAATATTTTAATGGTCTCTGCCACATATTTCCCAATTGGTTTCCAAGAGGGTAGTACCAATTTACACGATCAGTGGGCAAAGAAGTGTACATAAAGTTTCCCATATGCATGCCAATATGAGCAAACCTATTCTTGCCAAGTCAGTAAATGAAAGCTGGCCTTATTTACATTTCTTTGATTCTAAGGTAGAACATTTTTCCACGTTTATCCACTATACCTCCTCTTCTGGGAACAGTTTGCTCATGACCTTTGCCCATCGATTTTATTTTTCTAGCTGACTCATAAGCTCTTTTTTTTCTTTTTTTGGACACAGTCTCCCTCTGTCACCCAGGCTGCAGTCATTACCGGAGCTCACGGTAAGCTGAGATTGCACCACTGGACTGCAGCCTGGGTGACAGAGGGAGACTGTGTCCAAAAAGGAATTGCAAACAAGAGTCTGGGAAAATGTGACATTATTTGGTCAGGCACCTGCGGTGGGATCAGCCTTGAATGGGAAGGTCAACTCTTTCCTTTGCACTTGGTGGAGACAGGGAAGGGCTGGGGATGGCAGCAGGCGGGTCTGCAGGGAGAAGAGCAAACCTCTGTCTCACAACTTTGATTTTCCCTTGACACACAAGGGGCCGATTTCCCAAATTCTTCCCCATGATACTAGACTTCAGACTGTATATCCAGCAGAAACCATAAAAAGGTTCTGATCCTTGAGCCCTTGGAGGTTATATTCCCTGCTCTTCTGGAACCCTAGCAGCTCCAGCTTCCACCTCTCCTCTCCCTCCCTCCTGTTGTTCTTCACTTTTTATCATGATATCCAGTCCCCAAACCCCTCCAGTCATGGTATGACCCAACCATTTTCCTACAACAGTATTATGTACATGTGTGCCACCTTCGTAACTCACAAAGCATGTCCACCCTTGAACATCATGACAGCCTGGGCTGGAGGACAAGCAGAAACCAAGTCCCAAGGGGATGAGCAGGGACTTGTTCGTAGAGACACCAGGCCCCAGAACTTCAAGTACCCGCCTCTGCTCTACAGACTCTAGCAGGCAGGCTCAGTCACTGCAAGACACCTCTCTCCAGCATCCCCCATTTGTTCCCACACCCTCCCACCCTCCCTACCTCTACCCTCGTAGTCCCAGCCCAGTGGTCCCTTTCTCAGCTTCTGCTGGTGCTGGCGGAGAAAGCACAGGACTTCAGGCTCCACAACCCCCATGCTGTGTGACCCTCAGGCAGGTTATTTTTGCTTCCAAGCCTTTGTATACACTGGGGATTATAACAGAACCTAGGCCTTTGTGTGGTTGTCAGGACAGAGTGAATTCATGCGTGGAAAGGGCTTAGGGCAGCACCTAACTCCAAAGTCAACAAATTTCCGCATAAAACAGGGCGGATGTGTCCTGCTGTAAATACGTGCTATCCCATCACCATTTCTTCATAGTGCTTTTATCTACCTCCAATGGACCCAGCCACAGCTTCTCTCCAAGGACTCTTCTAAGCCATTTGCACATGCTCACATTTCCCCAAAAAGGAACAATTCAAGAAGGAAAAACTTAGTCTCAGAAGCATAAACAACTTCAACTGGTCAAGCATCTGGACCGGGGACACATAGGACACTGGAGAAACATTTTTGACTTCCACGAACAGAGAACAAGGGAGCCTCTACAGGAGCCTGAGCCACACCTACCATGTTTCCATGTTGCTGGGACCTCAGGAAGTCTGAGCACAGCTGTGTTCTCCCAGAAATGAGGACCTAAAGTGCTTGCCTATTCTGATCCCTAAACATCTATAAAACAATTCCTAGACCAACTCTCCCTAGGGAAAGGAAGGGCAACAAAGGAAAGAAGAGGAAAAGCAATCCAGAAACTTCTCATAGTAATCTAAAGTTTATCTGTTTTTGCTTCTGAGACATTCTCCCTCTGCTGCCCAGGCTGTAGTATAGTAGCACAATCTGTATTCACTGCAACTTCCACTTCCGGGGGTTAAGCAATTCTCCTGACTCAGTCTCCTGAGCAGCTGGCATCACAGGCATGTACTACAACACTGGACTAGTTTTTGTTTATTTATTTATTTTAGTATAGACGGAGTTTTGCCATGTTGGCCAGGCTGGTCTCATTTCTGGCCTCAAGTGATTCACTGGCCACGGCCTCCCAAAGTTCTGGGTGACTCAGTTATGAGTCACCATGCCCAGTCTTTCACAGCAATCTAAACTTAAAAAAAATTTTTCTAAGGTTTATTCTTTTGTTTATTTTCCTTTTAAAAGGTTTCCTCTGGGTTTATAGAAAAGCTCCCTTTGGCAATGTCAGTTTCTTCCAGGTGAGCAGTGAGAACACAGAGACTTTGTTTCTTTACTGCTGGAATATTTAGGTCTGTATTTGGGCAAAGAGGAAGGATGTGTGTGGAGCAGCTGTGATAGGCCTCAGCGATGCTGGTGGGGGTTCAAGTGAAAGTGCTGCCTGCTCCCACTTCGGAGGGAAAGCTACGGGGTCCTTCCTGGTGTCTGCCTCAAGACTGAGCAGTCGCAGGGTGACCCTTTGATATCTGCTCCCCTGACAAGGGGAGCCTCATCTAAAGTAGAGGTGGGGAGAGAGGCGAGATGTGATGGACACAGATTTCCAGACCCTTTTAATGGATCCACAGGTTTTGGAGAATCCACACTTCCAAAGTGGCTGAGCTCTGCCCCCATCTTGCTGATACCATTCGTGCTATTATAAATCAAACAGCAACAGAGCGTGATTAAATACAAGGAGCCTGACCACACGTGGGCGAAATCATGGTCTATTATTCCCTCCGAGACCCTCATGTGCAACTGCTACCATTTTTGTGTCTCCTGTATGTGTCCTGATGCTCTCATTCTGAACATCTACAAAAAGCAAAACCGTCGAATCAGCATCATTTTTAGCCCTTAAGAATCACGCTTTAAGATTTCCTATTTGCAAAGAAAATCAAGTCCCTTCTTTTCACTTTTTATAAAAGAGAGCAGTAGTTTTCCTTCCCATTTTTGTCTGATGAAAGCCATCACAGGCAGAGCCAAGAGAGCCACGTTAAGAAACAGGGGTGGGTGTTATGAGAAGCTCCGCATCTAATTATATTTTGCTCTTGCAATTACTTAACACAAACCATGCCTTATACAACCCATGAGACTAAAATAAACTTGTTTCTCTGAACTCTTCTCTTTTAAATCAAATTTCCACGAATCCTCTCAGACCAGCCTTCCTCCTCAAGCCTAGAAAATTCCCCACCGCGCCGGCCCGCTTCTGCCAATCGACTGGGCTTCCTCTTCCCTAAGACACAGAAACCCATGCCAAAAACTCCTCTGGGAGCCCGCGGCTAAATTAACTTGGCACGAGTGTGTTTCACTTCCAACTTGGCGAGGGCGCTGCGGGACCCAGCGCTCTGGCCTCGGCCGGCCCCTCAGTCGCCCGCTTACCCTGCCGGGGCGAGGCGCGCGCGGTGGCCGGGGCGGCGCCGTCCGGGGCGCGGCTGAGGCTGTAGCTGCTGTAGCCGCGGTGCAGCGCGAACTTGCAGACGCTGCGGCCGTGCGCCGTGCAGTTGAAGAGGTAGCAGCCGAGCGCGGCGGCCGGGGGCGCGGGCCGCCGGGGCAGCTCCACCACAGCCACTGAGCAGCGCGGCTCGGAGCAGCAGGCCGCCACGCACTGCCGCCAGCCCCGCACGGCCGCCGGCGCCCGCAGGAAACTGGCGCCCGCCGCCAGGGAGTCCTTGGTGCGGATGATGGCGTCCGGCAAGGCGCTGTAGCCGCCGCCGCCGCCCGGGCCCGGGCAGTCCTCCTGGGGGCCGCCGCCCGCGCGCAGCTCCAGCTCCAGCTCCTGCGGCCGCTCCTGCTGCAGCTGCCGGCGGAACTCCTCCAGCAGCTGCTCCACGCCCGACAGCTGCGCGTGCAGCTCGGACAGCGGCGCCACGGGCGGCCCGGTCGCGCGGCCGCTCGGCAGCCACAGGCAGAGCAGCAGCAGCCCGCGCAGCGCCCGGTGACACGGCAGTCGCCGGCGCACCGATCCCGCGCTCTCCCTGGCGGCGGAGGCCATGGCGGCTGGCAGCCGAGGGCAGCGACCCGAGGCGGGGCCGAGCGCGGAGGAAGACGGGGGCGCGAGCGCTGGCGAGCGCGGTTCCTGGGCCGCTCCTCAGCGGCCGCGGCGGGCTCTAGGCCCGGGCCTCACAGCGTGGCACCCCCGGAACCCAGCTGCTCCTCCGAGGCCGCGGGCGCGCTGGCGCCGGCCTGAACCACAGCGTTAGGAGGCATAGCGGGCCAGCAGCGGCCCTCGCCCTCGCCCTCGCCCTCGCCCTCGCCGGAGGGTACTCGGCGCCCTGCGCCTCTCCGCCCCGGCCCGCGGCGCGCTGCGTGGTGGCGCGTCGGCCTCGGCGCGGATCAGCACCCGGCGTGCGAACAGAGGCTGCTGGGTGGAGCCTTGGTGAGCCCCGCCCCTCTGCGCGGCCCAGCCGCCGACCCCGCGCGTCTGGCGCGGTCTCCTACCGCGCCGGGAGAGCGAGTTCCTGGGAGTGCAGCCTCCGTACAGCTCTGCTCCCGCGCCGCAGCCCAGCCAGGGCAGGGTTCCTGTCTGGGCTCAGCAGGTTTTAGCAACCAACCACACCTGCTCAGGACGCCTGCCCAGCGGTGCCTGGCACTCGGGGGAATCGGAGCAGTGGGAGGGAAGGGCCTCTCTTCAAATCCTTGTGACCCCAGGGACTACTCCAGAGAGGGGGCACGCGCACCTAGGACCACCGCACAGCGTCACCAGCCTTTCGCCTCCCACATCCCTGACTCTTTTCCTTCCGCATCGGATTCCCAAGACGCGCTTCGGTAGTACGAAGTGGGGCGGGGTTAGGGGTGGTGGAGTTGGGGCTGTGTGGGGTGGGGATGGGAAATTCTGAAGGATGTTCATTTAGTCTGTTTAAAAACACAAAAATCAAACCTGGTAGGGTGGTGGTCGCCTGTAAGTCCTGAGGCTGAGTCGAGAGGGTCGCTTGAGCCCAGGAGTTCGAGACTGCAATGAGCTGTGATCACACCATTGCACTCCAGCCTGGGGGACAGAAGAAGACCCTGTCTTTATAGATAAAAATAAAACCCATATAAAGCAGTCGTCACATTCACTCAGATTTCTACAAATATAACTAAAAATCTGAACACAGCCTACATGGGGACCTGGTGAGTAATTTCTACAGCCTGTGACGGAGATCTTGGGAGTTGTGTTTAAATGACATAAGGAATAAGAAAATGTCCAACCTAGTGGGGGCTTCACCTTAGAGTTTTAGACTTCTGTGACCAGTGTCCGCATCGTGTTTATTTCTGAATCAGTTTCTGTTGATTCATTTTCCCTCTGATTATGGATTACATTTTCTTGCTTTTTAGCATGTCTGGATATTTTTGCCTGGATGCTGCACATTGTAAATTGAACATTGTTAAGTGTCTGTATTTTTTTAGGATGGGAAGAATAAATAATTGGATGGGAAAATATCAGTCTCTGCTGCTTTTATTACTTCCTGAGCTGACATTCAGGAACTTATTGCTTGCAGGTCCAGACCAGAGTAGGAGGTAAAATTAAAAAGTAGAAATAGAAAAGAAAGAAAGAAAAAAGCTCAATGTTATTTGCCATTCCATGAAAGAGAAAAATTATGAAGTTTCTGCAGGGGTATATCTGAGTGAGTTTGAGACTGAAAGAAATGGCCTCTTAGCTCTAAAGGTTATGTCTGGACTGTACCGCTTCCGCCTGGAGATTCTTCCACTTGTGGGATACTATCCCACACAGCTGTTGTCACTTTAAGATGACCGTGAACCAACATATAATGCTTTTTATTAATTATTTTTATTTTTAGCCATAGGCCTTGGAGAGCTTGAGCAGGATTGTTATGAGGAGAAACTTTCACTAGTGATGAAAACGGTGACTGAGGTATCATCAAACTCTCCAAGGACTAGTTGTTATATGTTATTGATATAAAAAATAACATATGAAAATATGTATATTAACTAACAATTGTATATGATTTCAAAGTTTGCCACTTTCACACACATTATTTTATGTGGCCTTCACAGACTTGACCACCTCACTCCTGCCTTGGGGACAGTGAAAGAGAAGTCAGTATAGAGTGAGCCTGAGCTCACATGCTCCATGGTTGTGGGGTAGACAGGGGAGACGACAGCATTTCTCAGCGGCATTCATTTGTTTTGTTTTGTTTTTCTTTTCTTTTCTTTTCTTTTTTTGAAAGAGAGTCTTGCTCTGTCACCCAGGTTAGAGTGCGGTGGCCTGATCCTGCCTCACTGCAACCCCCACTTCCCAGGTTCGAGTGATTCTCTTGCCTCAACCTCCTGAGTAGCTGGGATTGCAGATGGCTGCCACCACGCCCAGCTAATTTTTGTATTTTTAGTAGAGATGGGGTTTCACCATGTTGGTTAGGCTGGTCTTGAACTCCTGACCTTGTGATCTGCCCGCCTTGGCCTCCCAAAGTGCTGGGATTACAGGTGTGAGCCACCACGCCCAGCCAGGGGCATTCATTACTAAATCCTTCCAGCACCACCAAAGAAGTTCCTGCATCTGCAACTTTTTTTTCCCAAGGCAGAGAGGCAGCCACTAGCAAAAAGCCCGCAGAAAAACTTCTGAGCTTGTGCTGGCCAGGGAATAGCTCATGTTCCCAACAGCCAGAGTAGAGAAACCTTGTGATTTCTGAGTGTGAGTGTGAGTAGGAAGGGAAAGGATTACAGAGAAGCCCATGAAAATTTTGCAGGTGACGGGTGTGTTCATTATCTTGACTGTGGTGATAGTTTCACTGGTGAATACATAGATCAAAGCTCATAAAATTATACATTTTAAGTGAGTATAGTTTGTTATATTCAATTATATATTAATAAGGCTATTTTAAAAACCAAGTTTTATTGTATTGTATATTATAATTTATCTTCTTATTCTAGTTCTTCTTTCAGTTTGTTTTTTTTTTTCCCAGAAATAAGCTATCTTTGTTTTAAAAGCTGAAACATCAAAATCTTACCAATGGACAGAAGAATTTTTATGTAAGGATGAAAATGTCAGGAATGTGGTCTGGAAAGATGAAGATGTGTTTTTCTTTTATAAGACAGATAATTAAGAATAAGAGTGGATCAAATTGAGATTTGGACTTTGTAGGTCAGTTTATTGAATGTTGGAATGAGATGACACATATCTTGGCTGGGCTGCTGTAACAGAATACCACAGATTGTGAGGCTTATAAACAACAGAAATTTATTCTGCACAATTCTAGAGTCTGGGAAGTTCACGATCATGGTGCTGGCAGACACTGATGTCTGGTGAGGGCCACTTCCTGGTTCATAGACCACAGTCTTCTCGCCGAGTCTTCACCTGGTGGGAGGGATTAGGGAGCTCTCTGAGATCTTTTTTATAAGAATACTAATCCCATTCATGAGGGCCTCACCTTTATGTCCTAATCATCTGCCAAGGTCTCTACCTCCAAATATCATCACATTAGGATTCAACATAGGAATTTTGCGGGATTACAAACTTCCAATCTATAGTAACACCCTAGTGATCATTGTTTTTTGTTGCCTTCCTCTCCCCACTACTTCCCATCTTAAATATTTTTACAGGCATCAAATAAGCTAAGTCAGTGCATGTGAAGTGCTTAGGAGGACATCTAATACATGGTAGAAGCTCAATAAATACTAGTTGTTTTTGTTATTACAACAGAAATGAAGGGCCTTTCCTAAGAGTAGAAGTCATGAAACCACTTGAAGCCTGCATCTCCTTTACAGCATCCTAGCTGAGTGGTTGTTACACTAAGATGCTTCCTTCTCCATACCCCTTTCATGGAGTCTGCTCTGCCCACATCCCTGGAAGGGGCAGCTCCAGTCCCCAGGTGACCACACTCCCTGTTCACTAGGGATGGCATCAAGAATGAATACCTGGCTCAAGCAGATCCAATAGATACTCTCTCCAAGTAATGTAAAAACAGAATTGAGAAACGAAGTGATAAGACAAATTGACTCAACAAACTGATTCGACAAACTGAGTCAAGGAAGGAAGTGTAGCTGGGAACCCAGGTGAGCTCCAGGGGACATGGAATGGGATAGTAGCATAGAGAAGCTGTTCAGCAGAGACGGACAAATGGAACAGTGAAAGCAGCATGTAGAGAAGAGTGCATACGGAGCCCTGATGGTGGTGGGTGAAGACAGGAGTTGCCTAACACTTTCTGGTCTCAAATTTCTCCCGTGAGTACCTATGTGGCCTTCTACCAGGAACTGTTCTGAGTTCTGCACAGTCACTTATTTGTTTAAAACAACAATTAGGCAGCATGTGCTAGTATGACCCCCAATTCACAGGTAGGGAATGCAATACTTTGTTACTGAAATGCCAGGGGATCAGTCTACATCCCGTTGCTTGCAGCAAAGAAAGCCAATCACTGGATTGAGAATTTTTGGGGAGGAAGTCTTTCTTTGGTGCTGCCAAATGAAGGTAAGCGGAGGTAAGTCTCAAATCTCTGACCAACTAAAATTGGGGGTGTACATAGTGGGGAAGGGGTGTAGCTACCCACAGAAAAACATGAATTAAGGAGGGGTAAGAAGAACAATTGGTTGATGGGAAGCAGATGGTTGGTGAGGAAAACAGGAATTATGGAGAGTAAGGAGAGGAGTCTGGTGTCTCCTTATTTGGATGTGGTGATGTGGCGAATTTCACTTCCCCCGTGCTATCTGGAAGTCGAAGGGTTCCTGAAAAAGGAATTCAGATAAGACAAACTTAAGTTTTAAGCATTAAGAAAACTAGGGTCCATTTCTATGTTTAAGAGAAAAAATGGCAAACATCAGTTCTCTGGGGAAATTGAGCTAGTTTCACCTTCACACACCAGAACTTCTTCCATCTTTGGGCAACTCTTACTATTCAGTAAATGTTTTCCTTATATTCAGTTACAATCTGTTTTGTAGCTTCCAAGTATTCGTCCTAGCTTCTTCTCTTGGGACCTCTCAGAGCAATCTATACCTCCTCCCAAGTGGTGGTCCTTTAAATATTTAAAAAATGCCATTGAACCTCAGGCACGTCAGTGCTTAGTATGGCACAGTGTTGAGTGTGGCCCATGACAGCAGTGTCCAACCCCTGCTGACTGTGTGACTTTGGGCAAGTCACCTACCCTCCTGAAGCACCAGATCACCCCTCTGTAATACGGGAATACTTGCCTCACCTTGTTTCCCACAGTGTGGAGGATAAAGTGAAACAGCATGTAAAGCACTTGGCACAATGACAAGTGTGCGCTAGACGCTCCTAAGGGTTGGCTGGGATCATTCTCTCTCAGCTCATTGACATCACATCATGAAGCTTTCAGATCTCGAGTCTGTCATCTAACCTGCTTTCTATCCCAGCTGGCTTTGCTATTGTTGCGTTTTTCAGCTTTACTGAGGTATAACTGACAAAAATTGTAGGCTGGTGCAGTGGTTCATGCCTGTAATCCCAGCAATTTGGGAGGCTGAGGCAGGCGAATCACGAGGTCAGGAGTTCGAGACCAGCCTGGCCAACATGAGAAAAACCCCTCTCTACTAAAAATACAAAAAAAAAAAAAAATTTAACTGGGTGTAGTGGCAAGCACCTGTAATCCCAGCTACTCGGGAGGCTGAG